ATAGGAATGTAGCGAATTTCTAATGTGTCACTATATTATACCCTTGCTTTTGTTTGGCCCTTAGGATGACTATAATTTCGTTCTACTTTAATGAGAGGACAATGCTTTTCCGAAGCCCAATTTTCCATTCTCGTTAGTTGTACACGCGTATTTTCATTTATTGTTCCAGTAAAATTTGTAATAATATCCTCAAAGCTTAAACGATGTATCGGCTTAAATTCACAAAGTATTTAAAATACATAAAAATATGTTAAAATGTTGTCTGTATAACGTTAACATTATATAAGTTTAATAAATACTAAGAAGCAACATATATTTTGTACACTTCTATTTATATATTTATATATTTATATATCTTACATCTATATTCTGATAATAAAGAATACAACATAATTTTAAATAAAATTTAATAATTTTATTTAATTTTTTACGCTTAAATAGCATTAATACTGATATTATATTTTAGCAAAGTATTGAGGGAGTATAAATGAATAAATAAATAAATAAAACAAATAAGAAGTTGAAGACAAAAGAAAAATATGAGAAATAATATAAAGAAGATCGATTTTTGAAAAAAGATAATGAAAATAGAGAAAGTAATGGAAAATAGATATATAAGTATTACATATTGTAAAACCTGTTAAATAAGATTAGAAAACCAATGTAGCACAAAATGCAATTAAAAAAAATAGATATAAGAATTATAGACGATATAAAAAAAAAAAAAATAATAAAATAACGATAAAACAACAATTTCTTTCTGCAGAATCGGTTTTTATAGGAAAAGTAATGAAATTGAAAATAATTCTAGTAGAAGATCCAAATAAAAGCAGAATTGTAACACTAAGAAAAAACATTATGAAATGTCAGAAGAAACGAAAGAAGAAAAGAGACATTATATAAAACTTCTATTATAATTAATTAGCAATGTCATCCTTCAATTCTCGCCAGATAGATTCTATTATAATATAATATTCTATTACAATATTCTATTATATTATTCTATTATAATATTAAACATAAATTATAATATTCTATTATATTATTCTCTATTATAATATTAAATATAAATTACAAATAAGAAAAGCCTAAAGAGCCATACGCGGATGTTGCTGCGTACATTTCGAATAAAAATTAAGTTTTCATTGGAATAAACCGTGCACAAGACACGTATCATTCTCGATGTACCAGCAAGACTTAAAATTCGAAATAATCTCATACTTGAGATTTAATTTTAATAACCCTCTAACACCCTTACGAAAATAAACAAATAAATGCGAGAAAAAAATATAGATCCAAATCGTATTGCACACAAAAATTATTGCCAACAGATCGATTGCTTACTAATGCTATTGCACACAAATGAAAAATGAAGAGACGAACGTACGTTTGTACACATAACAGTTTTGCGCACAAACCGTATTGCACATAATAGTATATTGTGTATCAAGTGCGGAAAGTTGACAATTGGTCACGAGTGCGGGAGATGGACGCACGAGGCGAAGGCGAGTGCGACCACCCCACACGAGTGAACAATTGTCAATCCGCACGTGATACACATACTATTTTGTATTACAAGTGCAGGCAAAGTGGCTTTGTGCGCGTTTTCTGTGAGCGAGGTGGCCGATTGCACGCTGCCATCTTGCGGCGGCACGGTGCGGGAATAGCCGTGTTCAATACATTGCTTACGGCTTCAGCCGTAGACAATGACTTGAACGTGGCTCAGCCGTAGGCAATGGCTTTGAATGCGGCTTATTCACTCACCGCATCGCCGCTAGATGGCGGCGTGCGAAATCGGCCGCTTCTCGCACAGAAAACACGCACACAAAGTGTCACTTTGCTTGCACGTGTAATACAAAAATTATTGCCTACAAGCTCTATTACGCACAAACCGTATTGCACACAAAAATTATTGCCTACAAGCTCAATTGTGCACAAATAACAAAATAAGAGACGGAAGACCCCAATGAAGTTCCGAAAAGTATACTCACTCCCGATTTTTAAAACTTAAGTATCCTTACGTATATTGATGCGCTGATTACGAATCTCATGAACACCATGAAAAACCATTAAAAAATCAGTTTTTTAGGATTATTTCAGTAAATACGAAAAATTATGATAAATGTTTTAGACAAAAATTTTCCGTATTTACTGAGATAATTCTAAAAAACTAATTTTTTAATGGTTTTTTATGGTGTTCACCATGAAAATCAAATAGTCGTTAATTTTCACTAAGATATTCGTAATCAGCGTATCAAAATACGTAAGAATACTTGAGTTTCAAAAAATCGATGGGGGAGCATACTTTTCGGAACTTCATCGGGGTCTTCCGTCTCTTACTTTGTTATTTGTGCGCAATTAAGCTTGTAGGCAATCGATCTGTAGAGAATAATTTTTGTGTGTAATACGGTTTGTGCACAAAACTGTTATGTGTGCAAACGTACGTCCGTCTCTTCATTTTTCATTTGTGTGCAATAGCATTAGTAAGCAATCGACTTGTTGGCAATAATTTTTGTGTGCAATGCGATTTGTGCGTAAAACTGTTATGTGTGCAAACGTACGTCCGTCTCTTCATTTTTTATTTGTGTGCAGTAGCATTAGTAGACAATTGATCTGTTGGCAATACTTTTTGTAGTTAAAAGAGATGTTGGCAAATAGGATGTCGGCAAATGATGCTGTTGGCAATTGATTTGTAGGCTAACGGGGCCCTCCCCAAGACCTTTCGCTTACCGGGCGACTGCTCTTCCAACTTCTTTTATCTCTTCTACTATCATAAATTACTTAAGTTGTACAATTTTATTTTTTTCATATTATATTCTATATTGTATTACTCACTTGTTAAGTAGGCTCAAGAATGTCTGAAATAGTTTTCCATCGAGTAAGTGTTCTATCATGTGCAGTATAAAAGGTGCTACGATTTACATCAAAATTATGAATTAGATATATTATAAATATATATTTACTATCATAGTTATTTGTAAATAGAGTGATTTTTTAAAGTAAATATTGTTAATGTATACAAAGTAGTAATTGCGTAAGAATGAATATTTCTTATAGCCGCATCGTTTATTATTCTATTTTATAAGTACATTTTTTGTTATTACCTACAAAGGTAGCAAAACTTTAAAAAAATTAGAAAATAAAAATTAAAAAATTAGAAAATAAATAAAAAAAAAAACAAAATTAAAGTAAAAAACAAAAGAAAAACAAAACAAAAATTAAAAATAATAAAAGAACAAAAAATTATAATGCTAAATTAATACCTAATCAAAACATCACATACCAATGCTCAAGCTCGTATGACAATAAAAACAATGATAAATTATTAAATTAAGGCCATGTGTAACGAGCAATACGATATTATTTTATTATTGAGAAGAAAATTCTTATTTGAAATAATAATTATACAAACGTTTCGAGCTCTACTTGCTCCTCTTCAGTGCGCAAAAAAAATAGTGATAATAAATAACGATAATAAATAAATACATAAAATTCTAATAAAAAATCCGCAATACATAGTCAATATAAGTTATATAGTTGAGTCATAGTTAAAACGCAAATATATTTACAATGAATTGAGACCATTAAAATAGTTCAACAAAGTAAGAACCCAATTAGAAGCAGAATGATTCGTCCGGTTATTCATAAAATATATTAGAATTATTAATAAAAACTTGGAGTGACACTTATACATTACTCCAAATGAACCACTTATCGTTATTTGACGAAAGTCCCTCGATCTGGCAATGATTATGTTCATCCTCTCCAAATTATTTGATATTTGTTAACTGAATTTAAAGAATTTATTCAATTGTAAAATAGGATTCCACTAATTTACACATTAAAAAAATTATAAGTATAAAAAATAAGCTTGTAAAAGTTTGAAATAATCACACATAAATAAAGTCTGTTGTTTATTATATAATTTTTCTTATTTTTTATTGTTATCATACATATTTAGCGCTATATAATTTACAAAAATTTCAGATTTTTTAATTCAAAAAATTTTTTTAATTATAATTATTATTATTAATTCTACAATTTACAGGAGCAGTCGGGAGACGCCGCGCTAAATTTGAGACATATACGCACGCGCACGTTTTATGTAATAAATAGACACAAACACAAATATCGATACTCAACGGATGTACTCACATACTCATACACATGTACGCGCACGAAGTCACGCGCGCACGTACGCACATATGTACGCACTCATGCGCGCAAACACGCGCATACGAACATATGAATACCCGCATTCATACACATACTGACATGCACTCACATACGCACACACGCATATGTATACTGACGCTGCGGAACACACACTTAGCGCGGCGTCTCCCGACTGCTCCTGTAAATTGTAGAATTAATAATAATAATTATAATTAAAAAATTTTTTGAATTCAAAAATCTGAAATTTTTGTAAATTATATAGCGCTAAATATGTATGATAACAATAAATTTAAATAAGAAAAATTATATAATAAACAACAGACTTTATTTATGTGTGATTATTTCAAACTTTTACAAGCTTATTTTTTATACTTATAATTTTTTTGTTCTTTTATTATTTTTAATTTTTGTTTTGTTTTTTTCTTTTGTTTTTTACTTTAATTTTGTTTTTTATTTTTTATTTATTTTCTAATTTTTTAATTTTTTATTTTCTAATTTTTTATTATTTTTTTTATTTCTAATTGTTTTTTATTTTTTATTTTTTATTTTCTAATTTTTTTTTCTAATTTAAACATTAAAACTTTGTTGGCAGCAGTCGGGAGTTTTTTTTTGTAAAAAATTTTATTATTATTTTCTAATTTTTTTATTTTCTAATTTATTTTTTATTTTCTAATTTTTTTTTTTTCTAATTTATTTAATTTTGCATATTCTACTTTGATAAATACAAAAGTCAAGGTTTTTAAGCTTATTAATATTCAATATGATGTATAAATACTAATGAATGTGTATGTGTAAAGTGTATACCCAATAAGCACAAGTACGTCCTATGTATGTACGATGGATGTCCATGCCGGACATTGTGTACATCCACTGGACGTCCAGATTAAGTACGGCGGACATACATTGGACGTCCATTGTATGTCCGTTTGCAACTGGGCTGGACATCAATAGGACGTCCATTATTGGGCATTTATGGTCGAAATATGGATTTTAAATGGATATAAATTATGAATGTAATAGACGAATTTTGGACTTTTTATGGATGAATTATGGACCTTTTATGGACGGATTATGAATCTTAAATGGATATATATTATTATTCTAATGGACGTACTTTGGACTTTTTATGGACGAAATTCATACCTTTACTGGACATATTTCGGCTTCTTATTATACGTGAATAATTTAGAATTAATTAGGTAATAAATTTAGTAGAAAACTGAAATAGTTTTATTTTATATATATTATCACAGTATACTTACAGTATCACAGTATACTTACAGTATCACAGTATACTTACAGTATATTTGCAGTATTTTTATTATACTGCAAGATACATTTATTTATAAAACTATATATATAATAATCTATATTAATATATATATATATATATATATATATATATAAACTAATAATTATATATATAAACTAATATATAAACTAATAATATATAAACTATATAGAAACTACAATAAAAACTAAAAAAAAATATAAACTAAAATAAGAAAATAAAATTATTTTTTTGTTCATAAATTATTAGTTTCTATCTTTTAGCTAGCGAGTTTCTACGTTGCTGCTAATAAATGATTCCACCAATTGATTTTCAGTATCTGCCAAATCTTCACGCAGTTTCTGAAGTTTTTCCTACAGTAACTTCTGGTGTGTGTAATTAAAGATTATTTTCCTCAATATCATTATTATTCTCTCCATGTTTTTTATTATTATTATTACTACGTTCCTTGGCTCTCCTTAACCACTTTTGAATTGCTTCTTCGCACTCTTTATTAGTGGAATTTGGGATGTTTTTTTTGACAGAACCTATAATATAAAAACAGGATAAAAAATAATTAGAAAATTGTAAATAATTGTATTTGTATATTTGATAATCTACAAAGAAGGAATGATTTTAATAAAGTTATTTAATACAAGATAACCTAAAAAACTACTTACCAATTATTAAATCCGCTAATTTTAATTTGTTGAAAGTTTTTTTGACTCGCCTTCCCAACCAGCTGTACGTTGCTGCAAGGTCATTAGTAATCAACATTTGCAAAGCTCTTTGAGTAAAATTGTATACAGAACTTCCACCATTTTTCGCAAGTTCATTCATCTATAAAATTTAAATTAAAAATAATATAATAAACTAAAATTTCATTAATTAATAAAGTATATTTGTAACACTGCAATAAAAATGTAACATATTTGAGAATAACATATTTATAAAAATTACCGCAACGTTAAAATTTTTCTCGTCATTTAAGTGTTCATCAACGCGGATTAAATCTTCTTCATCATGTAACGGAAAATTAAACATTGTGAAGAATGAAGTTGTTGTTTCCTCCACTTGATGAGCCACCTTATTCGTAAGAATATTATTAACCGATGTGGTTAATTCGTGAAGCGAATCTGTATATTGCCACATGTTAGCTTTTAGTAAATTTTGTTGGCGGATGATTTCTTTAAAATATTTTTCTGGAAAAAAAAGTTTAATATATTTATCAATTGTGTCGAACATGTAATAATAAATCCATTTTATAATAAGATTAATGATAAGTTTATCGAAAATAACTGTACATAAAATATATATTACTTGCAATCGCCAAATTTGCTTATTGCCCGAATTTTTTAACCAATATGCGATATAGATAAGCTTAAATGTCCATAACGCATTTTGGGTACTTTATTTCGGCCACAACACGTTGTATTTTCCAACGCTCAGTGGCCAAAATAAATACTCAGAACGCGTTGTGGACATTTAGGCTAACATCGTATTGGTTAAAGAATTCGGGCAATAGGCGAATTCGATGATTGCAAATAACATATACATACCACAGTTGTATTTTATATGTACGGGACAACATTTACATTCTTGTTTATTAACATTCAATGGTTCTATAAATGGTTCTATAAATGGTTCATCGTTGTCATTCAAAGGTTTGTTATTATCTACAAAATTTACAAAAAATACATTATAAGCTTTCACATTTTGTAAAAATGATTAATAATTATATATTACAAAAAAGAATTTACCAATTGCTTGTAATAAGTTCCTTTCAAACTTCTCATTTCGAATTCTATCGTTATTAATAGCTTCACTCCTTTTTTTCGGCTTTGTTTTATTTATAAAAGTACTGGTGTCTGGAAAAAAAATTAGAAACAAAACGATAGAATGTTTTTTTTAAATTTATGAATTGTTCGTTACTGTTTTCTTTTATCCCTAAAAAATTACCTTATACATTTATTTTAGAGATTTTAAAAAGTAAAATAGCGTCAGATACTACCATGTCTCTTAATTTATAAGATAACTAATTTTTAGCAAAATTTCTATAATATAGCAAATAAATAAATCCATACGAACCATTTGTTAAACGTGGAGGAGTCGGCAAATTACTGTTATCGTCTGATACATATTTTTAATTAATTATATAATTATTATATAATATACAAATAAGAGAGAAAATAACTATATACATTTATACAATTATATATGTGGATATTTATAGCAATGTGGCTACGCAGCAAATTTAATAGCAAATAAGTGGCTACGCAGACAAATATAAATTCATATAGCCATGTTATGACTACAACAGACATATTATATTATTAATTATATTATATATTTTTATTAATTATTAATAACAAGACTTACTCGTTTTCTATTATTAATAATGTTTTCTTCTTCAGATATCTCCAAGCGAGCATCTTCTTCCTACATATAAATAAAGAAACAATAAATAAATAATAATAACAATATCCTAAATAAAGAAAAAAACAATAAATATAAAAGAAGAAACTTACTCCTTTATTTATATCTTCTTGAGATATATCCATAATAATACACTTCACTTAATATTGTTGTTGACAATAACACGCAACAGGTGACAGCTAACCTACGAGGTGTGTTCAAAAAGTATCGCGAATTTTGTGTTTTTTCAAAAATTATTTATTTATTCATGAATATCTATTTTGTCCCCTTCAAAGTAATCCCCACCAGATATTATACACTTGTGCCAACGTTTTTTCCAATCCTTGAAGCACTTCAAAAAATCATTTTTTGTGATCTTGTTCAGCTCCTCCTTCGATGCCGTCTTTATCTCCTCAATCGTAGCGTAGCGTCGTCCTTTCATGGGCCTCTTCAGTTTCGGGAACAAGAAAAAGTCACAGGGGGCCAGATCTGGGGAATACGGTGGCTGCGGCATTATTAGTGTGTTGTTTTTGGCCAAAAATTCGATGCTGTTTTTGGTCGAAATTGAGCAATTTTGGTACGAATTTCGCGGCGACCCGTGTCATGCCCAAATCATTGGTAAAAATCGAATGGCACGAGCCAATCGATATGTTTAGGTCCTCAGCAACTTCTCTAACGGTGATTCGACGATTGACCAATACTATTTTCTTCACTTCATCAATGTTTTCGTCTGTTGTTGACGTGCTCGGGCGTCCGGCACGCTCTTCGTCGTTCACATCTTCTCGGCCCTCGGAAAACATTTTGTACCACCGATAAACGTTGCTTCGGTCCAAGGTAGCTTCACTATATGCCACAGTCAACATTCGGAATGCGTCCGCGCACTTAATTTTGTTTTTCACACAAAATTTGATACAGATTCTTTGATCCATTTTTTGGAATAGGCAAAAATCGAAGACGAGCCAAAACACGTGCAAGCAAAGCAGCTGTCAAAAATTAACTGAACATTCAAAATGGCCGTACTTGTCGGCATAAATGAGAAACATGAGTACCAACATAACGCCACAAAAAAATCGAAAATCGAATATACGTAACCCGCGGAAATTCAAAATTCGCGATACTTTTTGAACACATCTCGTATCCTATCAGTCCCGCCATTATTACTTCGAGATGTATATACCAATGTCACCAACATTCCCTATCCGGATACTACAACGAATCTCATTGGTGAATCATTTTTCCTCTTAGGTTCACACAGCAGCCAATGAGAGACCGTATTGACGAAATAATACTCATTTTTCACTTTTTATTAATAGAATAAATAACGATAATAATACGCTTTAAACCTTCCTTGATTAATAAGAAACTTATGTTCCAAAGTTGATATAAAACTATGCAGTAGTTATCGAGAATTAAGGTCACGACCGATCCGGGCTCGATGAAACGCATACTCCCTCTTTTTCGCCAACCTACGGTTGGCAGCAGTCGGGAGAAAAAATCATTCAATTAATTCCTTCTACCTACATATGTGCGACTATTACCGGACACTTTGTGTGTGCGTGTGCGTGCACGCGTATGTGTGTACATTTATACATATAATATTTCATTAAATCTAAATAAAGAGAGAATTAATTATCTTCTAATTTTGTACATATTTTAAAATACTAACGGTTAAAAATTTACGTGGACTATTTTATTATATTACGTTACCTCTGATAGAATTGGGAATTTCCAATGAGCTGTTAACTTGTGAAGCAGATTTCCACATATAATAATCACCATCCAAATTGAAAGAGTAATGTTGATTTTGAACAACAAATAACTGTCTTATTCGATAATATGGATAAATCTATAGAACAAAATAATTAATATATCGATATAACCGTCCTGAAGATACTTGCATTAAATACAAATACTAATATATTATTTCCGTTACTTAATTGTTGAAACAAAACATTTTCTCATTTTGAAAAACACACATTAAAATAAATATAATAAATAAATCTAAAATTTTATATTAATATAATTAGTAAATATTACATATTTTTTAAATTATTGTCTCATGACAGTATATTGCAGATTTCTCTTTATTTAAAATAAGAAAAATCTGCAAATTTATTTAAATAAATATCATGTGTACTTGTTTGGGATTAATTTATTTTATTTTATATTATATAAAAATTTAAAAATATGTAATAAAGTGATGTTAAAAAATAAAAATTTTTAATAAATTAAATTATAATTATATATGCATGTAAACATGTAAAAAAAGTATTTTCTATAAAACAATTCATTATTTTAAATAATGCTAAATATGTTTCAAGACAATTCACAAAGAATATATATATATATATATATATATATATACCCAGATAACCACAGTAATTATTATGACATCATTTTGATGTCATAATAATTACTGTGGCTATCTGGGTAGATTTTGTAAAAAAATTTGATTTAAGAAAATCTTGCAATATGAATGCTTCAGTATTATATCGTTTGCGAGAAGGTAGGAGAGAGATAACGTTGAAAATATTTAGAATAACGTACCATATTAACAGCATACGTTGCATACAATGCACTAAAACCTTTTTTAATCCAAAAATCCGACACTAATGGACTGTTCAACGGGGTATTAAACCATTCCTGTGTCACTTTACGTGCTACTAATTGAGCTACTTCGATTTTGCGAGTAATAGGATATAAATTTTTATCATAGATGATATCTGTTTCCCTGAAAATTATATTTTAATGTTAAAACTTAGAACTTGACTCAGAACAGAAAATAAAACTTTATTTTTGTTAGAATATTTTAATCTAATTGTTATATGTACGATTTACAAACTTATGAGTACAATTGAGCAAATCAGTATAAATAGTACCAAATAACATTTTTTTATTTTTTAATTTACAATATGTAACAACGATAAATTTCTGTTAATGTGTATATATTGTTGACAAAGAACAGTAGTTTTAAGTAAACCAAAAATGTCATTTCTTTTATAGCTTTATTGCAGTTTTAATATCTATCTTAAGAGGTACAATTTAGCATACATACTTTACCTTTTATGTACGTTTAAAACGGTATACTTTAAAATTAATAAAAGGAACTTAATAGGCCAACAAACGAGCAAAAGTTAGGTGTAAATAAAAAAATCTTTTTTTTATTATTAATATTCTTTGCATGTAAACGTTTCGACCTCACTAAGTCTTTTTCAATACAAAATTGAAAAATTAATAAAAACCTATACTTTAATTTTGTAATAATATAAATAAACTTAATTCTACTAAAATCGTTTTCGTAATTTCTTATAATTTCGAACGTTAACAGAAGCAAAAGTTATACGTGCTTTTAAATTTTATGATTTTGCATATTAATATAATTTTATTTTTAATGTAATTTTAAGCACTTGTACTCACTTATAAAAAACAAGTCTGATATCTATTATGCCATTGTCATGAAAATTTGGAATTGCAATATGAGTCACGTTCAAAATTTGCTTTGAACGTAAAAATTCATTTTTAAGCGACAAAGTCATAAATTCAGCAAGATTTTTTGCAAATTTCATGTGAAGTCCATATTTGTTCCTGCACCACATTTGAATGTTTCTATTGTCATCATCAATAGGTAATTAGACACAATCATTGTTGCAAGATAAGGCGACATTGCAGATGTGGTAGTGAAGTGTGTCCATAACATATTGTACTCATTTTCTTCCTTATTTCGCAATGGTATATTTGACAAAACCGTACATTGATAACATCCTATAGATATGTTAAAGGTTGCTTCTAACAATAAATTTAATAAAAGATGATTCATTACGAATAAAAGCCGTCTCAGAGATAAACATTAATCCGCTACTTATTAATAATAGTTTTAGAAATATCCTCATGTCGTACAAAGAATATTTATTTTAGATTTCTATAAAACAAAAGATAAATAAGGAAATTAAATACAGTTTTGATGTCTTTTTCAAATCACTAGACGACTCAAGAGCGCTTTGCGCAAGTGATATTATTTCTATTATTTAATTTGCAACTGTTAAACTGTTAATTTTCGCGATAGCAATTGTTTAATGTTATTAACATAACATATAGGCTGCGTTCGCTTTGATGCTTTCAAAGCTATAAGCATTCTCTGTCCTTGATGCAAATCGAATATCAAACGAAGACAAAAGATGCTTATAGCGCTGAAAGCGTCCAAAATAAATGCAGCCACAATGTTAATCGAGACCATAATCAGCATCGCAGAAAAACAGTAACAATATTTGCGATAATCGACTTTGCATACCATTTTTAGAACAGAATTCTTGTATATAAACAAGAAAATAAATACAAAACGTATTAAAATTATTAATTAAAAGACATCCTAATTAATGAATTATTATATGGTAAGAAAAGAATTTATGTGCAAATTTCCATTTGCACAATTTCTTTTTCTAATAAATTTATACATATATATATATATATGTGTGTGTGTGTGTGTGTGTGTGTGCGCGCGTGTGTGTGTGTGTGTATTTCAATGTTACATACATTGTAATTGACAGCAATATAAAAATTAAATTGACAATAAATTATTTCATTGTTAAAAAATAATGTACATTTAAAATCTATAAAATTTAGAAAATAAGTTATTAGAATATAAAGATTTATAGAACATAAAGTTAATTGTCTGAAACAAATTACATTTATAAACGCAACACCCGTTATTTTTACGTACATAAGAACCTGTGTGTTTATTCGAAATAAGAAGAAGACAGTAAGGATAAAAAAGACTGAGCAACGCCGACAAAGTAAATGAGAGAGAGAGAGAGAGGGAACATGTATATTATTATTTTCCTTTAGAGGTCTGTGTTGTTTCTTTTCTTAAATTGTGTATTATAAACTTCAAACGAAAAATCATCGAGAATAAAACCAACATAAAATCAATTTTAAATTTTATAAATTATAAACTTGATAATAAAAATTATATACATACTATATACAAGGTATCCCAGAACTGGCAATGATGTATTAATAGCAGATACCTGATATCATTTTTAGTCAATTTTTCTTTTAGTGAAATTGTCGAAGTACTAATAAATTTATAGTTATAAGCTATTAAAAATAAATGGTTTTTCGCAAACTAAGCCTTGTGGAAATAAAAT